ATATATATATATATATATATATATATATATATATATATATATAGATAGATAGATAGATAGATAGATAGATAGATAGATAGATAGATAGGGAGAGAGTGACCTAATAGTAGGAATTGAAAAATATGGGTCATTCTAAGTTTATGACCAAGAGTAATCATTCCAGAATAAGGAAAATCGATTTTATTTATTTTGTAAGATGTAATTTGATGAAAATACAAAGAAGCATTTAAAATAATTTTTGTAATTAAGACTGATTTATTAAATGAAAGTCTGACGAACAATAATCTTCCAAATAGCTCTCTTTTTGCTTTTTTGTCTCTCTCTCTCTCACTAACACACGCAAACGCTAGGGCTGGAACTTGAGCTAGTTTGTCATTGGCCGCTAAATTTTTATCATTTGCATTGTCTATTATAATTCAATATAGTCCTATTCGGAAAAATCCCTCATGATACATCGCTTTTTGCTAGTATATTATATAACTCTATTAATCTGTATTCAAAGAAATATTACAAAAATGGCAAAATATTTAATGGAATTCAGTATAATCATCGATATACAAGCTCAAAGGCATTTACAAAATTCCTTTTCAAATCAAAACATCGGCAACCTTATAGTAGTGGTGTGCCAAACAAATACACTAATATGATTCAGTGTGCCATGCAGTAAGAAATATTTGAAACAATGCGATTCACGTGGCAATACATGCAGAGGTCGAAAATACAGAATTAGAAATTATATATTAATTATACACATCATTTGAAAATGTTTTTTACCATTACATATAACTATTCCTTCAACATAAAGAATTAAATTTGTACATATATATTATGCATTATGTAACCTTTTAAGAATATTTATTAAAATAAGAAATAAACGACACACATAAAATATAAGTATTCGTGTAACATTGTTTAATAAAAAAAATTAAAATATTTTACAGCAAATCTTGTCCTTTTTCAAAGCACTGATTCATATCACTATATCAGGAATATAATTTGTGACTTTCAATTTGACATATGATTATGAATGTTCAGTTGTTAAACAGCATTTGTGGACTTAAAATATATTTCATATCAGAAAAAATTGGTGCTTATTGATATGCAGAACCAAAATCGGTAAGACAGAGAACACGCAATTTTCTAAAACAATTAAATCTTTCCAGCAATGACATACATCAATTTAAAGTAGTTGTCAATTTATCATTAATAGTTGTCTTCCAGATCTTTTCATAATTCCGTAAATTTTTCTTTCAATATTTTTGAATGTTCTTTTTACAACGCAGCAATAAGTTATGTTTCATTTTGTATTAAACAATCGTTTTGTGTGGTTTGAATTTAATACTTAACACTAATGATGAGTCACATTTAAACAGAGGATATTGGACTTTTTACATAAGACATGCAAACTACACGTAAGCACATTCAGCAGAATCGTCTTATTGAAAGTAAGAAAACGCCTTTAAATAAAAATGTGTGAGGCGTACGGAAAAGAGACAATCTCATAACTTTGTAGAGTGAAAACTGAGAACTGCTCGCTTACCACCTGTGACATGTATGCCATAGTTTGCCCTACCCTTGTTATATAGATTATTAAATACATAATAATAATTCGCCATTATATATATATATAATTTATCTTTTGTAACCTTGCTAAATGACTATTAAGTGTATACTTTGATTTTAAGATGTATTATCTTTTGTTATTCATTTTTCTAATGCATTGTTGAAATTATAAGTTCCATTAGATCTAATACACAATTTTTTTGAAGAAAAAAATGTTGAATAAAAATAATAGTATCCCTAAAGCATATATTTTTTGTATGTTTATGTATGTTTAAGGTATCCGACTACGTTTGGAACCGTGTGATTTTTAAAAATCGCATAAATGGATATTTTCATGATATTTAGTGTCACTTAGATTTGAATACATGTATAAAATTATTTTAAGGACATTTTGACAAAAAAAAATTTATTTGAATACAATATTTTGGCAAAAAACTAACTTAGAATAACCTTTTTTCAAAAGGTTCTCCTTTTGTGAAAAATGCTTCTATTATAATATTTTGCCTGTATATAGCTCAGACCTCTGTACAGAGGCTCAACTATGATTTTTGAAAAATTCACATTATTTTCAGAGATACAACCCATTGAAACAATGATCAGCGTTTTTTTCTTAAAATTTCTCCCCTTTGTTGTCGTAAAACATGGATAAACCCACTTCTATGTTATATATTCCAAAAATTCTAGTTGAGCCTCTGTACAGAGGTCTGAGCTATATACAGGCAAAATATTATTATAATAGAAGCATTTTTCACAAAAAGTGAATGTTTTGAAAATGGGTCATTCTATGTTCATTTTTTGTCAAAATATTGTACTTACATAATTTTTTATTGTAATAATAGTTTTAAAACAATTTTATATACATTTTCTAATCTAACTGACACTAAATATCATAAATATTATCCATTTATACGCTTTTGCAAAATCACGGTTCCGAACGTAGTCAGATACCTTAATTAGAAATACGTTGAAATATATAAAAATAGATTTAATGCAGCGTTTCTCAAACTGTGAGGCATGCCCCCTAAGGGGGCGTTATAACTCTCCGAGGGGGTGCGCAAACATATTGAAATGTTGAGAACAAAAGATTTTAAAAAATTATTAAAATACAAAAGTAAACAACAACAACAAAAAAGATACATTCTGATATAATAAAAATAAAATTAACATTTACACTGATATCATACACTTATAAATGTATCAGTACTGCACAATGTATTCTTTAATTAATTTAACAATGCTAAGGGAGAAACAAATTTAATAATTACCAGTGACCCTATTGGCTTGTCATATATAAAATTATGTTCAAAACAAAAATTATCACTTATCTTGACAATTTTTTTTTGGACAGTTTATATATTATCCCTTAACTGCCGATTAAAAGTTACGCGATTCACTGCCCAATGCCTTCGTTTTCCACGTAGTTGCGTGTATGTGATGTTTTGATGGTAGGGGAGAAAAGGAAAATGTGTGAATAAGCAAATCCTCTGAAATAAGTAAATCATTTGCTAATACTATCAAGATCCTTTTTTGGATTGCAAAGAATTTGAAATAATTTAATGGATGGCAGTGCACAGAAAAAATCGCACTTTAAGGCGTATATATACGTTCGGGGCATTAAACGAACCTGTTTAGCGAGACATATATATACGCCGGTGGCACTTAAGAGGTTGAAATGGTATTGTAGTTTTAGAGTTGAAGTATAGTATTATTGAATTCAAGGTTAATTGTATATAGAGGGGAAGGCGATGAAAATTATGAGTGAGTATTGGGTCGCCAATATTGAAAGTTTGAGAAGCACTGATTTAATATATATGTATATTAATTTTTGGGCCGTGGGTAGCCTAGTGGTTAGAGCATCGGACTCCAGACCGGAAGGCCTGGGCTCGATGCCCGATGCCACCAAATACCCACCGAGTACACACGGAGTACGTGCTCGTTAAATCAGTGGGTCCGAAAGTCTTGTGGGCTGAATCACGAGTGCAATGGGCTGGAGAATATTTCTCTCCCCTCCAAATCCATGCCTAAATTGTGAAGGTGGAGTTAGGTGGTGTCACCATCTATCGTAAAGAAGTCCAACCTGACTCTGACAACATTCATTCCTTCCCTTCGGGAAGGACACGACAACAACATATTAATTATTGAATTCTAAATATATTTTTTTTAATTTTTGAAATTCAATAACAGATTGAAGTTGCTTGTATGTTAGAGAACTTCTTTGATCCGTATGTCAGGACTTCAGTTCCTTTTAGCAAACAACGCATACATAAACGATCCGCTATAGAAGATGAAAATAAATGCACTACACGATCTTGCAGTATTTATTTACAGATTATTTCTAGAATGTTATGTTATGAATAAAATTAATAAGAGATATCTCCTTCAAAGAAATAAAAGCAATGAAAAGAAAATTCAACGTGTTTCTCACCGCCCACTCTGCACGTGGCTTGAACAGGAGTTGCAACATTGAAATTTTATATACACACAATAACAAGAGGAAGCGTAACTCACGAATTTTTATTTTGAGTGCGCGTAATCGCAATTATTATCTTAAAATTCCAAACAAGTAGTCCACAAAGAGTGTTAATCATTTTTAAAAAGGGAGCATTTAATAATTGAATAGTATTTTCTATAGATCCCTTTTCAGTTATTTGAAGAACATTAAAGGAATGAAATTAATTTTTTAATTTCTAATTATTATTTGGCATAGAATTAATTTCTTAATTACTTTCTGTTGAGATTAAAGTGCACTTCACTGGCAACTCAAAATTCATTCTGTAAAGATATACAGTAATACCCCCGAACTTACGCGATAAGTGGAGGGGGGGGGACTGAGTGATAACCGCGTAAGTAGAATTCTCGTAACTCGGGATAAGATTTCGCATATACATGTGGGAATATTCTATGGAGATCCCTCTCT